GAAATGAGAGTAAGGTAGACAACCTCACTCTCTCAAGGACTTAGGAGTACTCATCTCAAACGATCTAAGCCCCAGAGCACACTATAACAGTATTGCCAAAAGGCACTAAGAGTTGTTAACTTAATTTTGCGAAGTTTCTTCTCCGGTAATATTGTATTGCTAACTAAGGCATACAAAACCTTTGCCAGACCAATTTTTGAATACAGCTCGTCCACCTGGAACCCACACTGTATTTCGGACATTAACATGATTGAGCGGGTTCAGAAGTATTTCACAAGAAGAGTACCCCACTCCTATACTCACAATAGAATTCCCTATGCCACCAGGCTTAAAATGTTGCATTTGGATAATCTGGAATTGCGCCGCCTGCGGTCCGATTTAAGCATAGTACACAAAATTGTCTGCTACAACATCTTGCCTGTCAACAATTTCTTCAGTTTCAACCACAATAGTACACGGGCAAACAATCGATACAAACTCAAGGTAAACCGCTTCAAACTTGATTGCAGGAAATATGATTTCAGCAACAGAGTGGTCAACGTCTGGAATGCTCTACATGATTCCATTGTTATATATACTTGTTGTCTTGTACATGTTTGACAAACAAATAAAATAAATAAATAAAATAAAAAAGTAAAAGGAAATACAAGGAAAAGAATGTCTACAAAAACCCACTGGTACTTCAGCAACAGTTCTGAGTTTTCTCTTGAGAAGGGATGAAAGATTCTGAAGGGACTAGGAGAGAGAAGACGCACTCCAGAAGTGCTATCCTACAATTTATGTGACTCTCATTAATTATGGAAGTGATGATTCCAATGTATCTAGAATGCACCAGATTAGGGAAGGCTGGTCTACATTATTTCTTACTCCTGGATCTACACATGAACGTTGTTCTTTGATACTGAAAGTATAAAATCATGCAATTGTGTTAGACGTTATTTTGGAAATAATGCCATTCCATTTTTTTTATCCAAAGCAGGAACTGCAATGCAACACATTACTATAAAATACACAATAGCTTGCTGCTCAGTGGTGGGTTGCCCCCGGTTCACACCGGTTCTATAGAACCGGTAGTAAAACCGGCGGGAGGCTCTGCCTACAGACCCCGATGTCATCAGAACGCTTCTGCGCGCGCGTGGCCTTGTTACGAACCAGTAGTAAAGGTAAGTAGAACCTATCCCTGTTGCTGCTCAGACTCCGCTTAGGTATCTCCAACAAAACTAGGATCCCCAAAACAAAACAACCCTCACCAATTGGAAGGTTCTTAGTGCTTCTTTCAATTTCATTCATTCATTATAGCCTTTTCTTTCTGGACCCAGAGAACTATTCTGATTCTTTGTTTGCATGACTGTCTTTTCAAACACTGTTATGTTTTAATCCACCAATGATGATATTTCTCTTAATAAACTTTAATACTGTCTGAAGAAATGAAAATGATAAAATAGTAAAACGAAATTGCTTGGATAGTAAATAAATGTCACAATGTTAATAGAATAAAGACACATGCATTCTGGATTTTATCAAATTCTAAAATGCCTAGAAGAGAAATATCTTAGCCTAGTACAACTGTGATGTTTCCTAAATCAGGGGTCCATAACCGTTAAGACCCATTCATGTACATGCGGTATCCAGGCAGTATGCAAAACCACGCCCACTAGTCCATGGGAAAACCACCCTCCACAGAACCAGTTCCTGGCACCCAAAAGGTTGGGGGCTGCTGTCCTAGATGGAAGACGGATGGCTGGCCTCAGAAGGAGAAAGGTTTAAAAGTTTAAAAGGACAGCATTAGTACCCTGAGTTTGGTTTAGAAATGGTCTAGAACCCAATATAGCTGATACCTTAATATTCTGTTGACCTACCCCAATTAATACAATTCTTAATATTCTGTTGACCTACCCTAATTAATACAATTGTACTTCAGTAGAAGTACAATTCTGGATTACTGGATTATTTAAAAAAATAATTCTAATTAGAACAATAGGAGTAATCTGAGTGAATGAAGTATTACACCTGATTCCAGACAAGATAATTTGTACATTTAGTACTGATTAGTTGGTAATACACCATTTAACCACTCAGACAACCCCCAATGGCAATGACAAGAGTAGTCCCAAACAGCATAACTGAAATTTCAGAGAAAGTCCATCCCAGATTGAATATCATTCACTTGGGGAGACAACCTATCTCCATCTCATGGTATTTTTATTTTATCTAGGCTGCATTTTAACATACTGGCTATCAAATAGCTTCCAGTCAGCTAAGCAAGAAACTGAAGGACCAAACTTCCAAGGACACCAAATTCCAGTAAGTAGATTTATTATTAGTTAATGACCTCCACAGCAAAAGAATTCCAGAAGACTGCTATCCATCCTGTACAACCAAATAAAATCAGGGTTTAAATTTTGGCACCTCTCCACATAATGTACAGGCTAGAATATACAGGCTTTGGATGCAATCTGACAATTCTGTAATTCAGGAATCAGCAGTGACCCAAATAAGAAATCAAACCTGCATAATTTATATGCAACAGATTTAACAAAACTGCATGCTACATGAGAATACTGATGTTCCCTTCCTTTATGGAAAAGCAGCCTCAATTGGTGAATTTTAGTTCAGAGAAATAATCACCTGGGGGGGTTTGCTTTTGTTTTATCTCTATTCAAAATTCGCATTATCCAAGCTCCAAACTGCATCTGATTTTTTTTCTTGCAGAAGGTGCACCATCATGGCTTTGGTGCATACATTCTAATTTGCTTTCTTGAAACAACTCATTTGAATCAAGTTCATCTCCTGCTGAATTGCTGATCATATCCATGCAATTTTCTTCATAATAGCATGGAAGTGATTTGCCATTGTCTTATCTTTTTGCAACTATGCTGAAGAAGCCCCAATGTTATTGTCTATCAAAATTGATTTATGTACATTTTCAAGTAAAATGGGAGTAAATTGTTTAATTAAGGTCACTCCTCAAATTCAAATAAATTTATTTTTTAAGTCATTAATGCATCTTGAGAAATGAACTAGTATATACACATTTTTCTTTGCTTGCAGATTTGCAGTTAAATCTAAACATTACTGGATTTTTTTCACATGCTGGAATTATTTATGTCTTTATTTTGCTGTGCTTGTATCTCAATTATAATCCTAATCCTTATTGTCTAATCTTTATTCTTTCATTTGAGAGCTCATGTTTACTGTATTTAAGCACCCATTCTTTCAAATTATAAAGATTTGGAGCTCTATGCTTAGTCAAACATCAATGAGCTTTACTAAATCAAATTCTATTGACAAGAAAAGTTTAATAAAGGTTCTGGGCATGGACTTTCAAGATTGTCAGCTACTGGGCAAAGTTCAGACAGATAAACATCTGCGAGAAAATTCACACCATCCCAAGGGTTTGATGAAATAAAATGAAAGAATGAATGTAATCTTTATAACAAGTTAACTTCCTAGGAACAGGATATTTTCCAGAGTTTAAGAACTATAATGGGGTGTTCTAGAATATAGACATATGTGTTCCTTGTGCTTCCAAGTTATAAGAATCTTGTATAGCTGGTTAAATCAAGACCTTTGGGACTTTGAAGAGATGATGCTGAGCTTGTCGATCAGAAAAGTCGGCAGTTTGAATCCCTAGTATAGGTCTCCTTTGTGAGCAGGGAGTTGGGCTAGATGACCTCCAAGGTCCCTTCCAACTCTGTTACTGAGATGTAGTCAAAATCAGTACTGGGCTAAGTAAAGAGTACTATGTTGCAATATGACCAAGGGAGGGAGGGAGGGAGGGAGGGAGGGAGGGAAGGAAGGAAGTTAAGTGCCTAGCTCTGATTCTTTGAGAACTCTCACATTATGCTACATCAAGCTTCATTTGTTTGAAACTAATATGGATTAATGGATGATCACATCTTGAGAAGAGGCATGCATATTAACAACTTCCTCATAAATAGTACAAAGTGGTAAATCTTTGCATCACTTAATAACTTCCATGAAGAGGCAAAAACCCTACATCTTTATTTCTAGCTCAAAGAAGGATGAATACACAGTTGCACCACCTAAGCTACAAACTCTAAATGCAAATAGAGATAGTCTTTGACTTACAATATTTTGTTTAGTGACAATTGCACTGAAAAAAGTGATTTATGACTGTTTTTCACACTGACAACTGTTAACAGCATCACAATGACCACATGACCAAAATTTGGATGCTCGGCAACCGACTCATATTTATGACATATCCCAGGGTCATGTGATCACATTTAGTGACCTTCTAACAAATAAAATCAATGGCAAAGCCAGATTCACTTAACCGTGTTGTTAACATAACAACTTTAATGATTCATTTAATGATTGTGGCAAGAAAGGTAAAGTGAGCAAAACACACTTAACTGTCTTGCTTAGCAACATAAATTTTGGGCTCAATTGTTTTATAAGTCAAGGGCTACCCATATCCCTCCAGCTGTAAAATTAATAAGCTATACCTATACCTTCTTCTACCCTTGGCCCTTCTTCTAATATAAGCTTACCTTACACCATTGCTGAAATATTAAAATCAAAGTAACACATGTAAAAATATTGTGAACACTCAAAAGCACTATAGTATTAAACAAGAAATGTATACAAGATAGAATAGATCCTCTTTCTTTAATGTACAGGAATTTCTTCCTGTACTTATTATCTTTCCTTGGAAAAATACTCAGCAATCTGAACCCATGCATGCAGTCTTGGATGGAGGTGTCCGTGACTGCCACATCAGCTGCTTAACTTGCTATAAGGTTCTAGCTCATTGTATCTCATGAAGGAAACTAATGTAAAACACCCTCTCTTTTAAATATTATTATTAACTGTGTGGATGTATATCTGTGAAAAGCCTGGGCTATATAAAATATAAAGGTACAAATTGTTAATGGATTCAAACGTCTGACATTTCCACATCCAGTCCTCATAATTTGATTCCACAAAGGACAGTTGAGAGGGAATTATTAAGCTGTGTCAGCAAAGGCAATTACCTCCAGTGCAGCAGAAGGCTTCTTTTTAAGTTCTTCACATTTTCGGAATTTGCAAATCTGATGTCCAGTTTTACGGTTCCTACAACTGCTGCACTGCTCACAGTTTATTCGTCTTCTGCAAGGAGGACACATGCCACATCGTTTTCGTTTCTTTTTCCCTGAATTGATGGCAGATGCCAATTCATTCTGCATTGGGTACTCTGCTAAGCCAGCCATATGGAGTGCACTTTCTGCCAAAAATACACCAGCAGGGGTCATAATGAAAAGGCCAGGGTTGATGGGAAAAGCCCCCAGGTAAGGAAAATCAGATGGGTTGTTCATTGTTTCAGCTGTTGAGACAGCTTCCATGTCTGAGATGCCCGTCCCATGGTCATTAGGCAGAGGGATGTGCTCCTGGACTACTCTTTTGAGCAACTCTGTAGACTGAGCAAACTGTTGCAAGATGTTCTGTCCTTCCAAAGAAATATCTGATCTGCTCAACATATCAGAGATGGTTTTGTGCTTTGAGGTAGAATTGCTTTTTTCCACGATTGCCTCACTGCTGTTGGTCATAGGGACACATTTCTCTGAATGTTCACTTAATGAGCTGCTGCTACCAAAAGCAGAGTAATGGGACAGTGGTCGAGACTTCTTAAGACTTTTGTTCAAAGGTTCACTAATTATCCCACTTTTGTTCCTTCTTTCCAAGTTGATTGAGGGCTGAGAATCACCAGAATTGTTGCTTTTTTCCAACAAGCCTGGCTTGATACCAGCATCTTGATGGGCGTCAGGATCAGACATCTTTCTTTCTCTTTTTTTAAACAAAAAGACCAGACAAAGCAACCAGCTCACTTGTAGAAAATGATCAATCACAATAGTAAGAGCAGTAATCACAAAAAAATGGAAGGAGCAAGATCTGTCCTCAGTGTAATTTCACAGTCATTACAACATCTCCTGCAGGTTTCATATATCACACGTAGCTCTGAAAGTAAAAAAAAAAAAAAAAAAAAAAAAACAGAGAGGAGAGACGTTAGCAAACTGCTAAAAGTTAGTAACTGCTAAAACAAATAGCTTCTCTATTAGTGTTCAACTTAAAATTTCCCTTATACCGTGTTTCCCCGAAAATAAGACTGTGGTTTTTTTTGAACTGTGAAATAAGCGCTTGGCCTTATTGCCATGCACTCAAAAACCCGATTGGGCTTATTATCAGGGGATGTCTTATTTTGGGGGAAACAGGGTAATAAAGTCAGGACGCATCACATAGTCAGAATAGATATTTCCATGTGATTTGCATCATTAATCTAGATTTTACAGACCTTCGCTGGATGACTTACTCTGTGATCTGACACTGCTTGTACAATACATGAGAAACAAGAGACTAATTCAATTCTTTATTTGCAAACTTCTTGGCTCTATATCTTCCCTTCCTTTCAGGGTACTCAGAAGATCATTTCTCCTACAGGTATTGTCCTTGATGTGACCAAGCAGGATAGTTATGAATCAGCCATTTCATATTAATTTATGAAGAAGCCAGCTTCTATTATTAAAAACATAAATTCTAAATTGGGAAACAAGTGCTGAAATAAACTGCAATTGTTAATTTGCTATTTATTATTGCCCATTTATTTTTAAAATGATAAATAATTTTATACCTGAGAAGAAAAGAATCTGTGTGCAAGTCCAATTCCAGCATTTTTACATGGGTCTGGGAAAAACTCCTGCCTGAGAGTTGTTATGGGTAGACAAGAGTGAGTTAGTTAAACAAGTACTCTTACTGTATTAGACATATTGTTCTATGGTAAGAGAGATGAGATATCTTATTTATTCAAGAAAAACAAAGCTGAAATAAAAATGTATAATCGGCAAGAATGTAATCTTAAAGAACTGAAAGAATATGCCAGCATGAATGAAAGCTCAATGTATGCAAAAGTTCCTAATAACATAGATATTCTCTACTTCTAAATACAAATGTCACAAAAAACTTGAGTTTTTCACTTTCAAACAAAAGCAATGTACTGTGAAACCCCAAATAGGTAGCAGGCTTTCAGGCTGCAGCATTGAATCTATGAAGGAGAAAATATGCAACAATGTTTCAAATTTTCATAATGTCCAGTTTATGTCTTTCAATAGGAAATTAGACTTTTAGTTAAGACATTCATTCACATGAAAGGCAGCAATGAGTTTGCAAGGAGGATGCAAGACAACAGAGATCTTTTCAGAGGCTATAATAATGGGGAAAGAATTCATCAAAGGTTAAAGTAAAAAGGCCAACTAACCCAGTGAAGACTTCAATATATCTTGGATCTCATTCTGAGATAGTCAGTTTTATTTCTATTATATGCAAATAATCCATACTATGAAGTCATAAATAGAAACTATGCAAAAAGTCTCTTGAAACTTAATTTATCTTTCTAACTACTTGACAAATCGGTATTTCAGTCTGAAGTGGTAACTGAGATAATGCAATTTCAAAGGTAAAATTTCTTTAATTTCTCCTCAGAGGGGGCCTAAAGCATTTATAAACAGTAAAAGATTTGCCAAATTTTTGAATAGGATTGAAAGTAAAGCATAAGTGTTTTGTAACAGGAGATCTCATAGCCAAGGCACAATGGCAGATTCTCACTCTGTTACTGTCAACCACAGTAACACAGAGATCTTTTCAATTTCTTGAACTGTGACACTGTCATTGTGAAAAGGAACAGTCATAAATCCAAATTGAAACATAGAGATGTCAGTTTTCCAATAAGTTTTCTTACTCATATTAGTGTATCATCACCATATCCATAGCACTGTACGCACTGGTAGTTGAGATACATTATTTGAAAAACAATGGATAAAAAAATTAAATCTAGCCTATAGAACAAGCAAATAAAAAGATTTGCTATGTGGAAAAAATATTTTTACTGGAACTATGGAAATTATATTGAGAAATAAACACTAAAAAATAAAAGAACTTTTGAAACTGCCAAGCTTGCTTAAGTTGAAAAATTTTGATCCTGAAAAAAATGGCAAAATGCAACAAAATATATACAATCAGAATGGTTTCTTCATAAATAATCTTTCTTTCAATTTTTTTAAATGAAAATGTTTATCCCTTTCTTTTTTCTCATCTGCAGAAAGTGTGCATGACAAGAGAATCTTTTCCTGATACCTTCAAAAGGGAAATGTTTTTCCAAGCAAGCTTCAAATTTCAGACTGAGATTACCAACTTGCTCTATATTTCTCCTAGCCAAAGATCTGTTCCTTGTGATATGTTGTTGAACTTCAGAGAAGTAGTACAAAATATTTTCTCCTTCTGCCAAGTTATATTGCAGTGTGATATAATGTTTCTGCTACCAATTTTCTAGCATATGCAAACATCTCAAAAAACAATTATAATAAATGGCAAATGTAAAATTATGGCTTGGCTAGTCCAGTTTGTCAGACATGAAAACTGGAAAACCAGGATAAGAGCATCACCCTTTCCACTGAGATTTCATTTAATCTTCATTGGCACTTCATTAGGGAGAGAAAAGTATGGAGCATCCAGGAACCAACACTCATAAATCTCACAATGTATGGCCCAAAGTAATTTCAGTTTCCATTTCATAATCCAAATTGTACAAATGTGACTAACAAAGATATCAAGATTCTCCTTAATACTGTAGTCTCAAGAATTAATCCATCAGGGCCCTCTAGTAAGAAGGAGTTACATTTAACATATTGCATTGTATATTGCTATGTTCTGAAGGAATGCAACATTAATACTGGGGGATAGCTTTCCATTTGGTCCCTGGTGATCTGACAGTCTCTTTGGACCTGTTATATCATTTCAGTAATTGAAGTATTTGGAAAAAACTATGTCTGGTAGAATGGTAGAATGCTCCCATCAAAGAATCTTGTAAGTTCCAAAGGTTCCCAAAAAGACACATGCCTTTGTGAGCACAGTAAAGAACAAAAAATTACTATGGATTGATAAAAGAAATTATAGTTTCCCCAAGTACTATTGTTAGATTCCTTCAAAACATAGCAATATACATTAAGAAAATGATATGGTTCCTAAAATGTAGGACAGTGGTTAGCAAGTTTAAAGTAATTCTTACAACAGTACCAATTAATTCCTACATACCTATGACTTCCTCTGGCGAGTGGTGAATATTTTACTTCCCATTTAACCCTACAGAATTAAATGGTTTTGATATATCCTCAATATCTTGTGTCCAGACCAGAATCTTCAAAGTTAAGTTTCAGGACAGAGACAAAGCCCTAAAGCCACCAAACAAACAGTAACAAAATCAGAATTTTATTCTAATCTTCTTTTCTCAAGTTCAACACTCTCTCTGCCACTATATACTTCACAGCAATTATTTCCAAGATTGATTTTTCCTATCACTGATACAGACTTAAATTTACTAGATCCACAAGAAACATCTACATCTCTTCAACCTAACACAGAGAATAAAAAACAGGTTGAGAGAAAATTTGCATGAAAAAATTCCACTTCTAATAATCTTACATATCCAGTTCCTCTACTGACCTTCATGCAGCATTAGCAATACCACTTACCTATATATCACTCCACATGCTTTATAGCACTCTTGGAATGGTTTACAAATGTCAGCATATGATAAAATAGACAATGAGTTAACCAGGTTATGGATGAAGATCAAGGACATAACCAGATGTCACATATGACATATTTTAGGCAAACGCTGTAAATAAAGAAGACATAGGCTTTAATTGCAGAAAAGTTACAAAGGGCTCTCTAATAAGAAAGCAAAACAGTGCCAACAATCCAATAAGAAAAGCTCTGACAATACAAGCAAATCAAAGCTTATACAGCTCATTGCTGTAAAGCCAAATCTGCTGCCGCCATGATGGATGGTGTTGTCTACTTTATTAGATATGCAGCCATGCTGGTAGCTTTCTCCATCAATACTCCATACAGTGCCATATGTAGAGTAGCAACATGGATGTGTTTCTCTTTTATTTGTTGGATTTGTTAAGGCCACCCAATTCCAAAACTACTCTACCATGACCAAAATCTCCATCAGTAGACAAGCTCTACAACAAGTAGATTCTTTTTGTAAATCTAGTTGGTGAATAACTCCTGCTGTATTGAGAGACATGGCTAAATCTCATCAAAAGCCAAAGTAGAAATAGGGAGTTTTATAATATAATAAACAGCTACAGTGACAATTTTATTTGAAATGACATAGGTCTTCAATATGGCTACAAACCTCATTCTTGCACCAAATGTTCATCATAGGCACAGACACATTTGAAAAGCAACCATATCCATAATGATTTAGCTACTTAAGTGTGCCTCATGGCAAATGGTGTTAATAGAATTTGCTATTTAAGTAAATGGTAAGCTTTAGCATGGAAAACTTTACCGCTAACTTACTAACTTTAGAGGTATATGACCATCTTTATCAGATCATTCAAAGCATGTACATTCAAAGCAGTTGGAGGATACAAGAACAAAAACTTTTTTGGCCATCTTTACCTATAGGTATGGATGGTCCCACAATGTCTCGAAGTATTGAAAGGCTCAGCAAATTCACTACTGGGTGAACGACTATTGTAGTGGAGTATTAAGTGACCAAGCATTTACTGTGCCCTGCAGTGGCAAACGCAAGCCCATGTCCAGAAAACTGTTCAGAATAGCTTCTGAGATTTTGATTGTCCATTTGGTTGCTTAAGCACTTAGGCTTCAATTTCATTTAGGTTGATGTACAGACTTAACCTACAGAAGGTCAAATGTTATTTACTTGTGGATGAGATTTGAGAATAGTAAAATCCTGAGCTTTCAATCATTTGAGGGGGAAGAATGTTAAATGCAAATGTATAGTATTTGTGCCAATTTATATAATTTGCATAATTATATAACTGTCATAAATGGAAGCATTTGGGTAGTAAAACTTGATATAACGGACAAATCTTAATGCAACGTACATTGGTCCATTAAATGGGATGTAGTCCAAAGAAAAAGTATGCATTGTACTCCTCTCTAACCAAATTATGACAACACTAAAAAAACTCTGCAGCTCAGAATTCCAAATCCTAGTGTTACAATTTGAGTCTGCAAGCATTATAAAATCACCTGCTATACTGGGATGGGGCAAGAGCATTGCAGAAATCTTATACTAATTCATTACCAGTTCAGGCACTTGACCCAGCAACCCCATCGCCATAGGGGGCACACCTGATAGTCATGCAATACCAGCTATGGGTGGGTTTCTTGGTTCAGGATCCCAAGCGTGTAGTTTGGTTTCTTCCTCGAGGTTCCAAAGCCTTGTGTGGGTATCTATCTGGTTCTCAAGCATATATAAGCAATCGTTGGAATTTGGCAGTTCATATGAACAGTATGGACTTCAGCTTGGAAATCATATAGGATACCCACTTTAGGCTTGGGAACCTAGCTGCCCAATTGCCGGCTTGGAAATCCACCCATGGCTGGTATTGCATGGCTATCAGGTGTGCCCCCTATGGCGGTGGAGTTGCTGGGTCAAGTGCCTGAATTGGTAATGACAATGTCACCATGGACCAACACAATATAATAGTAGTAATGATGTTTATATAAAACAAACAAGATGAAACAATAATAGAATGGATGTGACATTGCCATACAACGCCCTCCACTTTGTCCCTATTTTTAGGGCTTTATACGTCAGCGATGAAACACCAACTCTACTTTTTTAGGGGGTTTGAAACATGCTCTTTCCAATGAGAATGATTTAACAGAGTTTCTAGAAAGTCTTTTTTTGGAAAAGCAGGCTGAAAATACCCTATTTTTGGCATTTTTACAAAAACAGTCAAATTTACACTCAATTTGTGAACTATTGGAAAGCAGTAGGAGAATGAAATTTTATATTCAACAACCTTGTGTTGCTAAGTTATTATGCACAAAGTTTCACATTTCTCATGTCTTTCCTTCCAAAGATATAAGAAGCCAAACTTTACCCTTTTTTTGCACTACAGTTATTTTCGGCCAACTTTGCTCCCAATTATCTAGATGGAGGTCGCTCATGAGAATGTTTTTATTATTTTGTTTAATAGAGCTCATCAAGTTATACAAGAGGGCCAAGTTTTGTTTCTCTCAACAAAATATTGCCGGAGATATTATGTCTCAAAGTTGTTGAAATCTCAGTGTCATACTGTCGAAGGTTGCAGTATGAAGTCATACAAATGACTATATCTCCGCAAGTATTGCATTGGCAAACATAACACTTTACCAATGTTCATTGGGGATGTGTGTGCATGTTCACACCAAATTTCATCAAAATCCGTGATGGTCGACCTGGGAGCACCAGACGTGACATGGAATGTGACCCTTCAGTCACAAAGCTGGCACACATTCGATAGAACAAATCTAACAGCTAGCCTAGAAATGGCAATTTAAAAATAAGGCCCATCAAGATCAATGAGTTCGGTCCAAAATAAATCTTTGGGCCATAAGATCCCATCTTTGTAAGCCCTGTTCCATTTGCCTAGTTTCATCTCACTGTGGTAAGATGATTAAACGAAGCTAATGCATAATTCATAAACATGAAGTAATCTTCATAAAGTTACAAGAAACATTTCCTTTTTAAACCCATATGGCCTGCATTCACTTTGGCCAGGGCCAATGATGATGTTTTAAAATCGGGTGGGGGGGGGGAAGCAGGGTACTGACTAATGAACTTTCGAGTTGCAAGCTTTTCCTGATATGAACAAACCAATCTGTAACCAAAACTTCCATGTCAAGTGGTCTGGAAATGAGAAGAAGGCAGGAAAAGATTTGCAGCAGGGTGTTTATCTAAGTGGTATGCAAGAAACTAACCCTTCCCGCCTTCTCCCAACTTCCTTTCCTACCATCTCCCAACTTCCATCAGTATACTATTAATAGATACATTACATACTGTAAGGTAACAACTGTACTGCACATGTTTTTATTGCTTGTTGGACTTGCAATCAAAATGAATTTATGAACAGCCTCAGGAACGTAACTCAGGAACAAAGTTATGTTCTAAGTGGAACAAAGTTTGTACTTTTTTCAGCTACTCATTAATTCTGTGCTATGTATTTTACTGCTCTTTCATGACTGCTACTGAACAATGAGATGCTCAAAATTATGAAACTAGAACATATCTAAGAATTCTTGGATTTCATGAAACCAACCCTACCTCCAGATTTCCCCCTTATAATCAATCTAGTAACAACTAGGGTCATCACACTTTTTCTAACCAACAACCAAACTAAGGACAGAAACTAATTACTATAATTCTTAGGAAAAAACAATAGAATTTAGGACTACAAAACCTGAAAATTTCCAGAATACTGCAACCACATCTAGGCTAATTGCCTTACACAATCACAGGTAAATTTCTATCCTTTGGGGCTCAGCAGTATAACTGCGATCATATTCCTGTGGATCATATTTTTTTCTGCTCTTTATACAATATGTCATTTGTTTCCCACAAGATGAAATAAGGAAATGATTTTTTAAGAATGTTGATGGTTTCAGTATTCTTCAACCTCCAACTCGTTTCCTAGATGTACCGAATACATCTAAATCAAATGGTTTTATTTTAGAAAAACCAGCTCTAAAAACATTGTAATTAGTTCAGTAGAGGCAACCAAACACAACATCAGTTCTCTGATTTATTTTAAAGTGATTGACTTGTGTAACTAATTGGAGCAATGTCTACCTTAGTATTTGAACCTGAAATGTAAACAGCAGCAGAAAGGTGTGTGGCCTGTTCTTCTATTTATCTCAGCACATTAAATGATACTCCATATGAAATCCATCAACAAATCTTCAGATTCCTCCCTGGATAATAAAACACAGAAGAAAATTATTATTATGCATCAATCATTTTATGGAAACATATGCTTCTTATCTACAGTACACTATTAATTCAGTTCCCAATGTTTATCAGTTACAGGTTCTCCCTCTTTAAAATTGTTAATTTTGGGCCCAACATTTATGGCTATCTTTTATTAACAGTTTGTTAAACATTATGGTGATAATGTCTGGTGGTGATAATTTCTCCTTAGTCAGTTATAATAATGTTATAAATTGTATATAAAATGCTGTCCTATCAGTATTATAATCCAAATACTGCCACATTACAGTTCTTTCCAGCAGCAATTTAGATAAGGTACAAACCCAAAAAAGTACAGTTTTTGGGTCAATAGTGTTGTATGAGGAGGCGGAGGAGGAGGAGGAGGAGGAGGAGGAGGAAAAGAATAGGAGCAATGATAGTAATTCAATAAGCAAACAAAGTAAGTTAACTAATTAATTGTTCATCCCATCCAAAAACATTTTACCCACTGAAAAATGGCTATCATTTAGAGTTTTTTGACAGATATGCACCTGAGCAATCAGAAGGTGGTGGAAATCACATAATGGTTTCCATACAGAAATCAGAAACCTGTTGCTTCATTCTACAGCCAAAAAGATACGTAACCCCATCACAGCATAAAATGAAGACTGAACTAAATCTTTAGAATATTCATATTCATAGATTATGAAACATTATTTTATATTTTTATATTTCACTCTCTTGGATTTTTGGTCTTCAATATATGGAAACCTGACATGTGTTACATCACAGAAACATTTTCTATAAATGTTTGACACATTTTTCTCTGGTCAACTTAAATAATAAACTATAGTTCAAATTCTTGAAGACACCCTAGATTTCAACCACGTTTACTCTGAAGTAAATCTGTCTAATGATGATTCCTCCAAATAAGTGTCCTATGATTTCTTCTATAAAGTAGATTTTGCATACAACCTGAGCCACAAGTGGCATGTAGTTCTTCAATATAATTTAGTAGAATGTGCAGTAACAAGGAAATGGTCAAATACCAACTAATATTTTGGGTGGAATTGAATACTGAGGAACTGTCATATTCCTACAACTTACACTCATTGTAACACTACAATTCATTCTACTGAATCACAGTGGAACAAAGAACAAATAAATGAAACAATTTCAGCCAGACCAACTACTTTTATTATTTTACAAGTCAATTCAGAAACTATTGTAGAAGTTAGACGTGGTCATGTTCTTAGATTTTTTCTCCATTACGATCTGTATTCAGTTACTAAATGTAACTTCCCATGTAAGTCTTTAGACATCACAGGGACAGTATTGTCATGACGTTTAGGAGAATGTCTAAATTAGTCAGGAAATAAAACACTGCTGCATTGCACCATTTTAAAAGATTTCCATTGTATTACATATATATATATATAAATCGGTAATATATCCCCTATATTTTTTGTATATTTCTAATTTTTAACCAATTATACCAATTATTCCATATTTTATAATAATCTGATTCTTCTTTTTCTTGTAATTCTTTGGTTAGCCTATCCATTTCACCGCATTCTAAAATTTTCCCTATTACTTCTGTTTCACTTGGTATTTTTTCTTGTTTCCAATTTCTTGCATAGGTTATTCTTGCAGCAGTTAATATGTGGATTGTAAGATATTTGATATCCTTAGGGTATGATTTGTTGAATATTCCTAATAAAAATGTCTCTGGTTCTTTTTCAATCTGTGTTTTTGTTATTTGTTCCAACCATTTTTTAATGTTAGACCAAAATTTCTTTGCTGCCGGGCACGTCCACCATAAATGATAGAAAGTCCCTTGTGCCTTTTTGCACTTCCAACAAATTGGGCTATTTTTAGGTTGTATTTTTGCCAATCTGGTTGGAGACATATGCCACCGATAAAACATTTTCAGTTGATTTTCCTTGTACGCCGTTGCTTTCGTTAACTTTAGGTTTACCTGCCAGAACTTTTCCCATTTTTCCAAAGGTATTGTGTGTTTGATATTTTGAGCCCACTTGATCATCGTTTCTTTAACTGTCTCTTCTTCCAATTTATAGCGTAGGAGAAATTTATAAATTCTACTAATTAATTTTCTGAATCTAATATAATTTTATCTATTTCTTGTTTTTGATTGTAAATTTCATATGTTTTTATATGTTCTCTATATTTGGATTGTATTTGAGTGTAAGTCCACCAGTCTATTCCTCTGTGTAAATCTGTCTCCAATTGTTGTTTTGTCTTTAGTTTGCCTTGATAATCAATTATATCTTTATACCTAATTATTTTTGTCTTATCTGTTAAATTTGGGTGCCTAATTGATTCAGCCAGTGCTAGCCAACTTGGTATCTTCATATAATGTTGTTTTTTAATTTTAAGCCAGGTTTGTAATAGTGAGTTCCTTATTGTATGTGTTTTAAAATATGTGTTTTGTATTTCTCATCCCACATAAAGGAGTGCCAGCCAGTTTGAAGTTCGTGTCCCTCAATTGTTAAAATTCTAGAGTCCTTTAATTCTATCCAATCTTTGACCCACGATAGTACTGCTGCTTGATAGTATATCTCCCAGTCAGGGAGTGCAGCTCCACCTCTATCTTTTGTGTCCTGAAGCAGTTTTAATTTTATTCGTGGCCTTTTCCCTTGCCATATAAATTTAGATGTAATTTTATTCAGCTTTTCAAAAAACGGTTTATCTAATCTAATTGGGGTAACCTGGAACAAATATAAAAATTTAGGTAGTATAGTCATTTTGATGGCCAAAATTCTTCCTAGGAATGAAATGTGTAAATTTTCCCATTTTTCTAAGTCTTTCTTTGTTTGTTCTAGTAATTTATCATAATTGTTTTCTTTAATTGCTGATGTTCTTGTAGATAAGCAGATTCCTAGATATTTTATTTTTGTTGTTGTTTGAATTTATATGTTATCTATCAAATCTTTTGTTTGAATTTCCGTAAGGTTTTTAACAATTAGCTTCGATTTACTTTTATTGATTTTTAGTCCGGCCACTTCTCCAAATTCTTCTATTTTTTGGAACAAATTAGGTATAGATTCCATAGGATTTTCTGTCAAAAATACTAAGTCATCAGCAAAGTCTTCTCTAATTTTTTTCAACAGGATTTCCAATGATAGAATATATAATAAGGGAGAAAGTGGACAGCCTTGTCTAACTCCTTTTGTTATATTAAATTTGTCTGTTATGTCATCATTCATAATTATCCTTACTGATTGCTTGGTATAGATTTCTGCTATAATTTTCCCAAATTTTTCCCCAATTTGCATATTTTGTAGTTGTTCAATCATAAATTTCCAATTTTGGTTATCGAAGGCCTTTTGGGCGTCAAGAAAAACCAACGCTGCCTGCTTCTCCGGGTGTGATTCATAATATTCTAAAGCATTAAGTATTATTCTCATATTGTTCTTTATTTGGCGTCCCGGCAGCAATCCATTTTGGTCTGGGTGTATATATGTATTTAATACTAATTTAATCCTTTCTGCCAAGATTGCTGCAAATATTTTGTAATCGGCATTCAATAATGAAATAGGTCTATAGTTTTGTATTAACTGGAGATCTGTGTCTTCTTTTGGAATGATTATTATGGCTTCCGTCCATGAATTTGGTATTTTGGCTTTCTCCATAATCGCAACATATTCTCTCCCAATACTTCTTGCATTGTTTTATATATTTCTACCGGTAATCCGTCGGGTCCCGGTGTTTTATTGTTTTTTTGCTTTTTCAGTACTTCATCTAATTCTAATTTAGTTATTGGCCTATTGAGGGTAATTCTTTGTTCTTCTGTGATTTTTGGCATTCCTGATTTTCCTATGTACTGTTTTATTTTATCTTCCTCTATTTTCCCGATTATATAGGTTCACATGAAATTTCTTAATAATTTCTTTTTTGGCCTCTTTACTATGTTGAGTTTCTCCTTTATCATCTTTCAATTGGTATATCATTCTTTTTTTCTGTTCTTTTTTCAATTTATAGGCTAGCCATCTGCCCGTTTTATTTGCGTGTTCGAAATAGTTTTGTTTCACCATTTTTATTTTTTGGGCTAGTTCTATTTGGTTTATCAAATTCAATTTATGCTTAATCATTCCCCATTCTTCTCTTATTGTTTTGTTCTGGGGCTTTTCCTGGAGTTTTCGTTCTATTTGTTTTAGGTCTTTCTCTAAATTATCTAATTGTTTTTTCTTCTCTTTATTCTTTTTCCTCGTATATGCTATTACTAGGCCCCTTATGTATGCTTTTAAAGTATCCCATGTGTTTTGTAAAGAGGTTTCCTCTATTTTATTTATCTGAAAGAATATTTTTACTTCCTTTTCTAACATCAAATTAAATTCTTTTTCTTTACATAATCTTTGGTTCATTGTCCATCTCTTACGTCTTCTTTCCCCTTTCCAGTTTATGAATAGTGGATTGTGGTCTGCCCATTGGTTTGTGCCTATCTCTATTTTTTCTACTTCTATTTTGATATTTGGGGTCATCCATGCCATGTCCGGTCTTGACCAGGAGTTATGCGGATGGGAATAAAAGGTGTATTGGGCCTCTTCTTCATGTGTTTCCCTCCATACGTCTACCAAATTTAGTTCTTCAGCCATAGTAAAAAATTCTTTTGGAAGTATTTCTTTTTTCTTTTGTTTTTTTTCCCCAGTTTTGTAGTCTTTCTTTGCATTTACTATTGCATTATAATCCCCTATTACACAAATATCATCATATTCTAATTCTGCTAATTTTATATGTAGGTCTTTAAAAAAAACCTGTAGTTTTTGGTTAGGTGCATAAATCCCTACAATTAACATTTTCCTCTTTCCTATTTCTAATTCAACCATCACCACTCTACCTTGCTCATCGGTATAAACTAGTTTAGATTGTATTTTTTCTTTTACGTAAATCACTACTCCTTTTTTCTTTTTTTGGACCAAAGATATAGTTTTCCTAATTTGGGGTTTTCTAGGATTTTTTGATAATCTTTTTGAATGTGTACTTC